TTGAGACTGTGAACATGAAACATCACTTGTTTTTTGAGATAGGGTCTTGCTAACTTTTTACCTGGGCTTATCTTGAATTTAGATATTCTTGTTTGTGCCTCCGGTATAGATAGGATTACAAATGTGCATAGATGGCTTTCTCTTCCTCCTCTTCTTTCGTTCTTCTTCTTCTTTTTTTAATCCCCCCAGATATAGGGCTTAGACTCAGGGCTTGGGGGCTGTCCCCGAGTTCTTTTGCTCAAGGCTAGTGCTCTATCACTTTGAGCCACAGCTCCAATTCTGGTTTTCTAGTGGTTAATTGGTGATAAGAGTCTCGGGGACTATCCTGCCCAGGCTGGCTTTGAACTGTGATCCTAAGGTCTCAGCCTCCTGAGTAACTAGGATTACAGACTTGAGCCACCAGTGCCCGTGCCTTCCTTTTCTTATATAAAAGAAGTCATATGAAAATAGATTGGAAAACTCACTTGGAGAAAACAAATGTAGAATTTAGGGATGAATACATATCAGTATTGCAACTTGAATAATATAGTCTGATTTTATACCTGAGTAAACTTGGTAGAATAATCAGAAAGATAAGATTCTATTTTGTTGTTTCATTTCTAGTATGCCATGAACTGAAATAAAAATCTTTTGTTGTGCAGCTCTTTACTGAATTTGTACTTAAATAATTTCTCCTTTGTAGGAATTTTCTTCTTGCAACAAAATCTATTACATGATTTTATAAATAACCCATTGGACAGAGTGAAAGCCATATTCAGACTCAAAGAAAAACTTTTTATGTTTTACTTTAGATTTTTATTTTATGTAAAAGTCGCTTTACATAGAAAAGGGTTTCATTTTGGCTGTAAAATAAAATTGGAAGTTGGTAACATTACTCATAGAATCATTCAGTGGTGGTTGATTAAACACTGGTTAGATATTATTGAGGAATCTGGATGTGCAGAGTGTACACAGAAATAGGTGTAAGTGTTCTCTTTTACTAAGGTATACATTGGAGAGATTGCTATATTTAAAACTAAGTATGGAGTCAGAGGACTGTGGCTCATACTTGGAATCCTAGCTCTCTGGAAGCCGAGATCTGAGGATCACAGTTCAGAGCCAGCCCAGGCAGGAAAGTCTGTGAGATTCTTATCTTCAGTTAGCCACCAAAAATCCAAAAGTAGAACTTTGGCTCAAGTGGTAAAGTGCTAGCTTGAGCAAAAAAGCTCAGGGACAACACCTAGATCCTGAGTTCAAGACCCAGGATAGGCACCAAAAAACAAAAAGCAAAGCAAAATAAAACAGAAAAACCAAAACTAAGAATGCCTGCAGCCAGAAGACCCATTTCAAACCTTAGAAATTAGGTTAAGTCAGAAGTCCTAGAAACATGGTGATTTGTCTGTAACTTTGACCATGAGACTGAGACCTGGTTAAATTGATCTTCTATGCCAGTTCTGTTTATCCATTGTCTATTGAAGGAATAAAATTACCAAGATGGTCAATTTGTAAAGAAAAGAAGTGTATTATTATTCACAGTTTGAAGTCCAAGATCAGTTCCATGTGTTTGACCAGTGCTGAGTGTCGCATTTTCTGCATCACAACATGATGGATGACATCATGGTGGGAGCTTGTGTGATAGGGAGGGGTCACATAATGAACCAGTGAGCCAGAAAGCTTCAAGGGCCAGGACTACCCTTTTATAATAATCTTCTTTCTGAAAAACTAACTCACTACATCAGACCAGCATTAATTAGTTTGTGAGAAATTGCCCTCATGCCCTGATCATCTGATACTAGGCTACATCTCTTAAAAGAGTTCTCAACATTGCCCCACCAAGGACCAGGCTTCCAATACATGAACATTTTGGGGACACCTGTTAAAATGAACATGGTAATTTAGTTGGGAAAAAGATGAATTACTTCCTTCCAGAAACACTTGTGCTATGATGCGGATCAAAACAACAATCATAAAGTCTTGTTCAAAAGCTGCTGAGAATACAGATGCAAACACATGTGTTTTAAGTAGATTAGAAAGGCATACGAATGAGTGACCAACAGTTCTGCTTTTGGCTTCTCAGCTGTAATTGGAATTTGATCTTTTCCCATACGGGGAATGTATCGTCAGCCTCATAATACTGGGCAGAGACATTCCCAGTTAGCCTCACGATGATGATGGTGAACAACCAGTACTCTATAACTTACTATGTTCCTTAGTTATTATGCTCGGCAGGTTGGTGTGTAGCATGCATTTTTGTGAGATTTTCAGTTTACTAAGGAGGCCATAACTTCATTACAAGTTGAGAGTTAACAATATTGGCTTTTGCACCCAACTTTGCATTCATAATTTTGCAAGTTCATTTTTAGGGAGGATCAGTCAAATTGTATATGTTTAGGCTCACAAAATCTGGATCCTCACTGAGTTTTACTGAGTTTTCTCAGTGGATTTTTGTATACTTACAGTTTGTAAGTAAGTGAGCATCATATAGAAGCCAGAGAGTTCCAAATTATTCTAAAATCAGTGGTTTGCATGGCTCTTTTGAAAGAGAACAGGAATTTCCTAGCAGCCAGTGTATTTCAGTGTCAGTGTTAGTGAATGTCAGAAAACTGGAACTTAGGTGCAGAGTTTAGTTGAGACCAGTTCTGGTCAGCCTTTATAAAAGCCCACTATGTTAGGGAGATATTGGGTCAGGTTCTTTCTCATAATTTAAATTTAGTTTAGAAGTTATTTCAAATGAATTAACAGTGAAATATCTTTATTTCCTTTAAACCTAGTTCTCTGATATAAGACATTGTAGATTAAGATCATATATATGATTAAATGAAAAATTGTTAATGTTACTCCTTGATGTTCTCTAAAACAGTGAAGCTTTGTCAGGACTAGTAGTTTCAATGCTGTGGAGTTAAAATGGACATTATTCTACATCCTTTTTGGAGATAGTTTAACAGATGGTGGCTATGGTTCACCTGGGGTGACTATTTTTCAAACCCACTTGGGTTAAAAAGAAATCTCAACCTTTTACATGAGTTTAGTTATTCATTCATTCCTTGATAGAAATGTTACTAAGCACCTCCTGTGTGTCTGTTCTTGGTTAGGTGTTGTAATTCAGTGTATTGTATAGGAAGGTAGATGGTAAAACTATATCCTCCTCTCTTACTGCTGTTTTATTCTTTCAGTTTGTCAGAGCTTTCCCTTTGTAGATTTTGCTGGCTTCAGATGCTTCTAGATGTTTTTGTGACATTAGTAATTTGTAATTAGTAATTAGTATGCATTTGGATGATTAACCACTCACTATCTGTCTCTGTATGTTATAAGTTCTATAAGCAAGGGTTGTGATATCATTTACTTATCAATATTGAATTCAGTACCCTATATTTAAGAGGTATTAAGGAAGCTGAGATCAGAGGATCATGATTCAAAGCCAGCCTAGGCAGCAAAGTCCATGAGCCTCTAATCTCCAATAAACCACCAGAAAACTGGAGGTGGTGCTGTGGCTCAAGTGGTAGAGTATTAGCCTTGAACTGAAGAGCTCAGGGTCAGCGCCCAGATCCAGCGTTCAAGCCCCACGACTGACAAAAACAAAACAAAACAAAAGGTACTTGAAGATTTCTTGATTAGGAGACCTGTGTAGCAAGAGTACTGTTCCTTGTCTAGTTGGACTTAGGAGCCATTGCCCCAGGAAGTGAATTGTAAGCTAGATCTGAAGAATGAAAGGAGTTAATGAAGAAGACAGACAACCTGTGGAATCAAAGCTGAATTTATCCTAAAAGCATTGGAAGAGTTTTAAACAAAAAAGCACAATCAGACTTCCATTTTTACATGGATTATTTTTAACTGTTGTTGAGTGGGCAAGGGTGGAATAGAAGGAATGGCTAGGTTTAGTAGTATTAGGTGGTGGCCTCACTTGGTTCCTGGGTAGTATAGAAAGAGAAGAGGATCCATTTGAGAAATCTTTAATGGAGTAACTGATTTGAGTTAGTGAGGAAAACAAAAGTAGCAAATATGACTCTCAAGTTTGTGCTTAGAGAACTGAGAGCATCCTGGGGGCTTTCACAGAGTCTAGATGTCAGAAGAACTATGTGAGGAGAAGAATATGAATCACCCTTGAAGTCTATCTACATTTATACTAGACATTATAGATTTTATTAAGTAGTGGAATTTCCTCTAAAAATTAACAAAATAGCAGACAAATACACTCATAATATTCAAACATGTATGAAAATGGGACCAGGTAACTTGAGGGGGATGAGTGGAGTTGAGATAAATGGGGGAGAAGGAGAAAGATAGAAGGCATGACGTTGATCAAGATGCATTGTACTCATGAATGCACATCCTGAATTGAACCTTTTTGTATAACTACTGAAAGATAATTTAAGAAAAATAAAATGTTAAGATATAAAAAAGAAACATGGATACAGGCGTATCTGGGTACCTGGAAGATATTATCAAAATTAACTTTTGGGATGTTAGCTATATTTTAAAAATAATTTTTAGTTTTCAATATTAATGTATTTTATTTTTATCAAGGAAAAAGTAACAAAACATATATTAGGATAGGAAATCCTATACCAAAACAAACAAAAAAGACAAATGTCATAAGGAACAAAAACTAATACTTTGGTCAAAATGTGGGCTGTACCTACTGAAAATAAATAACCCAATGAAAATGATTTCTCCTAATTTGAAGATCATTGTGAATAAGTTCACCATTAGTGTGTGTGCCTAGTACACACCCACAGGGACTAATCATCTGGAAATTTAAGTTTATCTTTCCAATATCTGCATGATAGAGCCATTGACTGGCATTCATTTATCCATATTTTCCTTAACTCTCAGCAAAATCCCTGGCATATAGGGATAACTGCAGTGAAGGTTATTGTTTTGGATTTGTTAGTAACACATTAATTTTGTTCACTGTTGTTGTTATAATTTTGTTTCTTCTTGTAAGTTCATTATTCACTAAATTTTTTATTTTAACAGTGATTTATTTAACAATGATGTTATTTATGTCATCTCATTTTTAGGTAGATTGGGGTCAGCTGGACTATTTAGTAGTTGACATGCCACCTGGAACAGGAGACGTACAGTTATCAATTTCACAGAATATTCCCATTTCAGGTAATTTTTAAATAATTTAAGCTTTCTTCTTCATGTTATTGTTGCTATACAGAGAAACAAACTTCTTGGCAAGCAAACATTTCTATCTTTAAAAATAACTTACAGAACTGGCATGGTAGTATGTTCCTTCAGTCATTCGGGGAAACCAGTATGAACTTGGAGCCAGCTAAGGCTACACAGAAAAACACTGTTTCAAAAACAAACAAACAAACAGAAGCATACCAGTGTAACTTTGGAGCCAGTTGAGGCTACACAGAAAGACACTGTTTCAGAAACAAACAAACAGAAGCATACGTTAAAATTTTCAGACTGTTAACAGAATGAGTGTATTTACAAAAACAAAGATACTTTGACAAGGTGGTGACATAAACCTGTGTTTTATAAAAGCAATAGTACTTAGGTATATTTAATAGAACATGGCTGTTTGGTTAACTGCCATCTATCGTTCACAGCATTGGTACATGGCAAGCAACCAGTGGATATATATTGAGTTTACTGGGTAAGAGTACATATTAGGAAAAAATGCTTTTCTTGGTAAATACAATTCTGGGAGAATTTTATAATCTGCTGCTTTTCAAATGTTGAAATCAACAGCAATCAACAGAATAGCTTATAGCAAATGCACAATACTATCTAAGCTATTTTGCTTATTGTATAGTATTTAATATAGTAGTAAATACTGGTTTTTTGTGCTTGTGTTATGGAATTTAAATATTAGTAGTTATTCTTATGTTGAATCCACTTCTTAAAACTTCCTTAGATGTGTATATAGGTATGCATATATATGTATACATCCATAGATATTACTGACACAGATTAGTGGGAAAAATAAAGAAAATTTTTAATATTTTTGTAAATCAACTGTTTTCTGGTTATCCAAGTAATACCATTTAATTATCAAAAATGTTTTGATAAGAAATAAATGCTATTTGAAAATACCAAGATAGAATTCATCCATGGATATTTTTAATGTTTCAATATGTGTGTAACCATAATGTAGTCTGAGATTGTTTTTTTAGGGAGGCAGCAAAATTGGCATATGAAAATAATTTATTCTTTTGGTTATCACTGTACTAAAAGCCTGCTTTTTCTTTTTCTTTTTATGTATTTTGAGGGTATATTACATTCCTAGATTTAAAAAAAAATAGTTGCTTCGTATCCATTACATATGCTCCTGGTACCTTGAAATGCTTCTGAAATGCTTATATTAAACATATGGCTTCTGAAGTGCATGTATTATACATGTGGCTCATATGTTGAAAACAATGGACTAAATTATCATTTATGCCCTGAGTAGTGACTTAGTACCTGTGGACCCACACAGGTGAAATGATGTCTCTAAAAACAATTTGCTTATTTTGATTTACTCAGAAAACAACCTATTTGGACAAGATTCATAATTAAATATCTTATTTTAGTTTGTATTTTTATTTCAACACCAAAAAACAGATACAGATTTGGGTTAAGATTTTCTTCCCTCATTTTTCTTGCAGCCTAAAAGTTTCCTTCTTATATGCTAATACTTAGGTAGGAATATTTCTTTTTTTTTATTTTATTTGTGAACATACTGTACAGAGGGGTTACAA